CACTTTTAAAAAAATAATCCATTGCTGCCAAACTTCACAATCACCAGGAAAGGGGCACTGCTGTCATTTTCATAACTACTTCCGTTCTGAAAGACACACTGTCTCTAGGCCTTATGGACCTTGCTAGCTCCAATGCTTCCGCTGTATCACTAAACACTTGGTACACCAGGATTCCTTTGTGACCCACAATTATTTTGGGCACCAATCTTGCCTTTCTCTCTCTATGAATTGTGCAGGCCTACTTATAAACGTTTAATTATCCCATTTTACTTTGTTTGTAGCAATCGTAGGTTTTTATTCATGTTTTGTTATTTAAATGTGATCCTAATGGTAAACCTTAATTACATTTGTTTACACAACAGTATTAACAATCTGATCTTAAGCCTCACCAAAGTGATGTATTTTTGATAACTGATATAGTTTTCTCCGTTTGTAATCTGTGGTGTTTTATTTATTCTGTTTGTCATGTCCTAATATTTGGTTTACTGTTTATTACATTATATTTTTTCTATTACATTACATAGATCATCACCCACAAATTTAATAACAGGAAAAACAATAATGTGATGATGTTGGCAAAGATTTCTTGTTCTTAAGCTGTTTCTGGATCTTCAAGCATCAAGAACTTCACCTGCACAACCAAATTTACTTTTTCCACCTTCAACTACATTCATTTCTATTTAATTTGGCAACATTATTCAAATACAGGTTATGTCATTTCTAATTATAAAGAACTTTCAGTTGATACATTAATCAAAACATATACAAAGCACATTAGAACTTCACAGTCACATATTAAAATATCTACCATATACTTTGGGAGACATTTAGTCTGAAAGAATAAGTTGTTGTGCAGTCTTCAGGAGTACACAAAACTATTATTTGAGAGTATGATAACATTAAAGGGGAAGGTATATGTGTGTGCTAATGTGTCTGAAGGAAAGGAAAACAACCTAAATGAAGTCTGAACTACCGTATCTATAATTCAGTCAGGAAAGTTCTGAGTAAAGGTAAATTGTCAACAGGTTTGTAAAATAATGGTGCTGTATGGATTTCAGAACAGAGAGAATTCCAGAGGACAAGTGCCAAACAATGACAATGCCAACTGAGGTCTCATCTACCAGTGATCACAAGGTCCACCTATAATTGTTCACAAGATGATATTGTCAACTGGACACACAAGCACGATACAACCTTATTATCTTAAAAATCAACTGATGCTCTAGCTTTGCAACTAAGATGACAGATATCACGATCCCAAGGCATCTAGAGGCTTGTACAGCAAAAGCATTTTGAACTTGACTTAGTAGCCAATTGCTATGTTTTTTTTTACAAAGCACCAGAATGACATACTGAAAAACTAGTTCAACATCTAAGGCCAAAAAACACCTTTCATGGAAGAGCTCTAGTAGCTTTAAAGAAGAATGATAGAGAATATGTTCATATGAGGCATCTGCTTGCATTGCTTAATCTGATTGCTTCTTCTAGGCATACTGAATTTCTCATCAAATGTATGGCTTCCTTCCTTGTTCTCTTAATGATTCCTAAAGATTAAACTTAATTCAAACACAGGATGCATGCTACTTTTGGTTTATGGAACATTAACTGATCATTGATAAGCCAGGCTAGAAACAGAATTTGTTGTGTTTAGATGACATGCTTAAGGGTTATAAAACATAGGTGGAACTACAATATGTTTCATTCCTTAGCCATCTTATTATAATAGTAGACATGTAAATGTGAGCAACAGCTTATTTAGATGTGCTGATACAATACAGTCAATCCTGCCTGTGGGTAGAATATCCATCCATGTATCATCACTATTCACAGGTTTTACAAGTTTTTGTAGTATTATGAAATATGCAACACCTGCTTAATTAGAAATGAGGCAAGCCATCTGATCATAAAAAATTAGGCAAGGAAGAGCTACTAGTAAGAGTCAAAAGTGGGTAAAGAAATATATTTGTCTGGAAAAGTAGTTTCTTCTAATAACTAGGACTGAAGAAATGATACACAAAGGCTATACTCTTGTCCCATGGAGTTAAACCCAACTGAATTCAGTGAAATTTATTTCTGAAATTATTTCCAAAATCTGAAACACAACTCTTGCAAAAGATAAAATGGGACCCAACATTTACATAAAAATTAAATTCTCAGAATAAAAATACAACCATTTTGAATTTCCACTAAAATTTCTACTACAAAATCCCTTCTTATTACATAGCTTGACACAGAAATTTGTCAAAAATTTGTAAATGGTAGCCAGAGACATTTGCTCCATTGCATATTCCAGATGAACCAAAGGGTGAGATGATATGTATGGCATCTAGGCATTCAAATTTAGTACATATCTGTAGCAGCTGCACTGGCAGCCTACCAGGTGCACAAATGCTATTTTTAATTACCATAAAATGGAGCAGATTGCAGCTGGCCTTATTGAATAGCAGGTTTTGGTTTATGAGATGGTGAGTTCCTTGCAGCTGGGACTTGTCACACTGCAAAGAGGACTGGTCTCAGAGGCAGGATCAGGCTGTCAGTCACCATCTAAAATGGCAGAACACTCTTAGAGATTTTTTCTTAACTGAACAATACAACAAGTGCAAGAACCACCATTTCACTGAACAAGAAGCTGGTTTAAATGAACTTTAGAAATGAAGTACCCTGCAAGTTCTGGTCTCAATAGTGCCATCCTCCTTCACAGCTCATAGATTAATATGCTGATATCTATGACAACTCCAGAGTTTTCTTTTTCTGCTCCTGAATCCTGAGTGGGAAAATCAATAACTTTTCCTTTAAAAATAAGACAAAGTGATAATGTGAGGCTATCTATGAAACCTATAATAATATTTGCAGGCATTATAGTCATTTCTAGAACAAAGTATATCCAACAAAATAAGCCAGAAAGATGTATTAACCAGAATGACCTAACTTTGCCCACTGAATATTCATACTCTATGGCTGGATATAAAGCTTATAAAGAATTTCCTTGTGACTTTAGGGTTTCCATATTTGTGCTGCAAAAAAATACAGACAATCACTATATAGTATCAAAGATATGCAGAAAACTTTTGATTACTATCTATTAGTTATCTGGATTTTTGCAGCATTGCTATGATAGCACTAATGTAAGTCCATTCTTCATAGTTTTGTTCTGACAGGCATAGCAAGGTAGGATTTACATTTTGAAGAGTTATCATATTAAAAGCCTTTAGCTCAACTTTCTATGCTTTTACTATTGGAATTTCAATGCTGGCAAAGTTCACCAAGCAGGATAGTAGCTCATTTAGGACATTCAAAGTTTCCCAAAGCATTATTTTAAACTTTTTATGAAAGGTCTTTGCTTCAATTTAAAGGAATATCTCCTTTTATTCATGTTCACAATACAGTCATTCATTGTAAAATATTTAAAATAAAGAGGCTTTATTTGCAAAGATATTTACTTAGAAGTAAATCTCCCTGAAATCTATAGGCCTAAAGGTGTTAAGGTCATCAATCATATGTTACTTTAAAATTATCATATTGTTCCTAATATCAATTGTCCCTTATTTTGAAGCATTGGTATTTATACTTAAATATCATTTCATAATATGCAATGGATTAGTTCCTCCATTTGTTTTTCTTCAGAATATAGTTCTAAAAAGCTCAGACAAGGCGTCCCTTTAAATCTGTAGTACAAGATTGACTGGAAATTCTAAATTTCACCGTCACTCTTTATCTAATGCTTCAAATCCCCTCACCTGCAGCTAAGAGACCGCCGCATAAAACTACAACGGCAAATGTAACATCGAGGCGCTCAATGTTAAAGCAGCATCTCCAGAATTCCTTAAAAATATTGACGAGACGGGGAAACCCCATCCCAAAATGTGCAGCAACCTATCTTACGGGCAGTGCAAGTGAAAGGACAGATACAATAAATACTGTAGACTGGCTTTAATGTTTAATGTTCTTTCGTTTTCCACAAGAGGTTAAAAAAAAACAAACGTTTGGCTGGAAGGCAGCCCGCAACACTTAGCGGAACCTATTTGCAACCCAGTTGTTAGGGATTGTCTTTCGGCTCAATTCTGAGTGAAAAGTAACCGACGCGGGAAATAACGTTTATGCTCGCTCAGCTATGCTGTCAGAGGTCTTTCAGCCTCCCGAGACAGAAGAAACAAAGTCAAGAGCGCAATTTCCGTATGGCGCTCTCTTCTGCCCGTCCTCGCTCAGTTGCATAAGAGGGAGGGAGGGAGCGACCGACGCTGACAGTGCCTGCTTTTTTTTTTTTTTTCCATTTTCTATGTCCTCGCGGCACCTTCCTTCCCGCCTCACGTGACGACTTTCAAGCAGGACGAGGCGGAACGGGGCGGAGTCAGCATGTGCCCGAGACTTCATTATCCGTTTGTTCCAGCGAGCTGGAGCCCCGCCCACCAAAAAAAGCAAAAAAAACCCAGAAGGGAGGGGGGAGAGGGTTGTGTGGTGACACGTGCTCTTCTCTGCTGTCTGTTTAAGTCCGAAAAAGAGTTACTGTGCACACTTCCGGCAACGCTGCACGCGCCCCCTTCTTTCACGCAACCCCCTTCTTCTTTTTTTTCGCGCGCGTCTCTTACAGCCGAAAAGAGACGCACGAAACCTTCTACGTCTCAGAGGTGTTTCCCAGCAATCTCGCCCTCTTCGGCTCCCCCCCCGCACCCGTCGCCGTCAGTGTCATTCCCCACCGCTGTACGGTGTCTTTAGAGCGCATGCTCCAAGATGTACCTTACGTGACGGTTCCTTTTCATCGCGCGTGCCCTCGCCGTTTGTTCGCTGGCCAGGAAGAAGGGGCGGGCGCGCGCGTTCAATGTGGGAGACTGGGGCGGGCGCGGGCGCGTGCGGGCGCGCGCGTCAGGGCCGGCGTTCCGCACGCGCGCTGTTGTTATTGGTGCTGCCGACTTGACTGGCTGGGCCGGCGGCGGCTGTTGGTTGGGGCTCGTGGTGGTGGGGAGGGGGAGGAGAAGGCGGAGTGGGGGGGGGGCGCGAGAGAAGGGAGAGCAGGGTGGCTCAGGCAGTCACTCAAGAGAGTGAGCGAGTTCTTTAAAGATGGCCGGAACGGCGGCGGCGGCGAGCGCGACCCCTGTGTATTGCGTGTGCCGGGAACCCTACGATGTGAACCGCTTCATGATCGAGTGCGACATATGCAAGGACTGGTTCCATGGCAGGTAAAGGGCTGGCTGGCAGCCACGCGTCCTTTTTCGGGGGAGACGACCAAAAAAACCCCACAAAAAAACATTGTCCCACTTTCTGAGGGGGAGACCTTCGGTGGGCGCTGAGGGGAAAACAACGAACAACGGAGGACAATGAGGAAGAGGCAGCTCAGGGCTTTCAGCTAACCAGGAAGCAGCAGCGGCGTTTAAGCAGCGGTCGCCCTCCTGTTCTCTTGCCTCTTCCCCCCTTCTTCGGTGTGGAGTTATATAAGGACTCCGGAACTGAGGTTAGCGAAGAGCTCTCGGAGGTTTTCGGTGGGGTTTAGAGGGGACGGAAAAGTTAGGTGCCGTAATTCAGTTTCTCTTAACGCTGGGGGGGGGGGGGGGGGAAGAGGCTGAGCTGTGTTCTCGTGTCTTTTGTGCGTGAGTACGAGTAACGAGGTTAGGGTTAGTGCCCTGTGCCTCTGTCCTCCGCTTCTCTAGGTATGGAGACTTCGAGGGGACTTCTCCTGCCTTTCCGAGCTCAAGAGTGCCCGAGTTTCGTGGGCTTCTGGCTCTTTCTGACGTGGGACCTGTCCTCCGCGGAGGCGCGTGCCTTTTATGCGTGGGAGGGAGAAGAGCCCTCCCAAGTGCGGGCGTTGTGGCGTTTCCAAAGGCTGGGGTCGCTTCTGGCCGGAGAGAGGGAGCGCGGGGTAGTGGTGGTATCCGCGGACCTTGAAACAAAGGAACAAGTTTCGGGGCTGCCTGGCTGGTGGCGCAGGGGACCCTCTTGTCTCCTTTCGGCTTTGATCTCCCAACCGCCGGGCTTGGAACCCGTCGCTGGCGGGTGGAGGCGGCGTTGGAAGTTTCGGAAGAAGAGGCAGCTTTCGGAGAGTATTTTATCCGAGGAAACCCTCGCTGCTGTCGCGGCTTTTAGGGGAAGTGCTCGTTGATTGACAGCACGACATTTAAATACCCCCCATTTAACAAAAACAAGAAGTCACGATGGACCTGGCGAGACGGTCTCGTCGCCCTCTGCTGGCTGGCGGTGGGAAATTAATTTTAAAGGGGCAGAGCCCCCGGAATTCAGCTGCTGCGGGAGGGGGGGGGAGAAGGAGGTCCCGGAACACCTTAAAAATAAATAAATAAATAAAGCGAGCACCGAACGGGTCTGGAGCGGTGCCTTGGCTCCAGTCTCTGTTGCGGTTGCATTGTTCACTCTGACGAGCCCTCTTTCAAAATGCACCTGGCTGCTGCTGCTGCTGCTGCTGCTGCAGAAGAAGAAGCAGCTTCACCGCTGGGTTGTGCGTTTGTCTGCGAACGGTAGAAAGGGTGCATGCAACTCTACAATTTACGTGAATGTGGTGTTCAGTCCTCTGAACAGGTGTGCGTGAGACGGTACTGTAAATTAACAGTTGCTGTATTGAGGAAATGCGTGCAGTAACATTTATTTTGAAAAGTGGTTCTTGGGTAAAACAACAACAACATTCTTTAGTGTTTTTCTGCAAACTCGTTATGGATGGGCATGAATAATGTGAAACAGTTAATTATGTGTAATTGGCATACATCCAATATGTATTTGAATGTGAGGACAGCTACGTTTAGTTGTGTGCAGTTAAACTGAAGCATTACCTGCAAGTTTTGGTGAAATTACTGGAGTTTAATTCTGCATAAACGTATATAGGAATGTGTTCTAAGTAGCTTGTGTATACGGTATTTTATTATGGGCTTTCACATATAATTAGCTCCTGAAATTAGAATAGCTGGCCAAGAAGAAAATTGCTGTTATTTCCATGCCTTGTTTAAGTTTATGTAACAAGGACTAATAATGTTGCTGTCTACTAAATTTGTATTTCCAAAGTTATATAAAAATTTGTTAGATGCTTATTACATTTCTTTGATGATTTCTTTCACTGCAAATATACTCCCGTGCATATTAGCTGGAAACAAGTGTAATTGTAAACAATCATTTTCAAGTTAATGTATTTAAGTTCTCCCAAAGAGCTTATGACCTTTCCATATTTAATATGTGTCTTGTACTTATTGTAAATGTTTGCATTTTATGTTCATTTAATATTTCATAGATTTATCTACAATGTCTTAAACTGCTCTAAATTTTAACATTTTACTTAGCTCTTCAACATGCAAATTGTTAGATTAGGCTAGGAATTGTACCTTTATTTCTTGACTAAGATATTTTATTTCACTCCTGTGTTATCTGCAGTAGAGATAGTTGCATCTAGCCTGTATGCAAGACAGAGGAAGACACATGCCTACTTTAAAAAAACATGGTGTATAAAGAATATTTACATATTTACAAATCTATTGTTTTATTTAAATTACATTAATTGGCATATGTTTGCAGGTGGATCCCATGGTCATTTATTTATTTAGTGTATTTTTCTCTGACTACTGTGTTATATGTCTATGTATAATATGCCACACAATTGTTGTTACTGCTTGTTTAATCCAAAAGTCTGTTGAATATTGTATTTACAGAGTTCTTATACATGTTAGCATCAGGTTTAAAATGGACCATGTAAGTGTAAATGAGTTTTGCTATTCCTGCAAGACATTTGTGCATAAGTTGATTTGTGAACTACCCAGAGTTTGGTTCAAGATGGGCAGGTCAGCTGTATAAATATTTTAAATAAGATGAATAAATAAATTATTAGTATCAGATATTTAGTCCATAATGTAATACTGACAGAGTAATTAATCAAATCTGCAAAAAGTGAGAGTTTCACTTTAAGTAGCAATTTTATCCATATCATGATCTCCATGACCCAGTGTTGCATACCACCATGCTATTTTTTTTTTTAAGAAAACCTCCAACGTGTACTGGGCTTCAGGCACGAATGTTACTTGGTACATAAAATAAATTCATGTATGTACAGGTAGAAGTTTAAATTGAATTGTCTCACAGTATTTATATATTTATTAGATTTTTATCCCACCTTTATTACTTTAACTCAAGACAGCAAATTTACCTAATATTTTTTCCTCCTCTTTTCTCCACAATAACAGTCTTGTGAGATGGGTTGGGCTTAGAAAGAGTGAAGGACCCAACATCACCCAGCTGGTTTTCATACCTAAAACGGGAGTAGAATTTGCAGTCTCCTGATTTTTAGGCCAATGCTTATACTAAATTGCCTCTCCATTTATTTATCCATTTCTGTTATTATTTATGAAGTCTATTGTTTGCATTGAACAATCATTTATCTTAGCATTATTCCTGGAAAATCTAATATCAGTTGGGAAGAATGCATACTACCATTCATATACTTCATATGAATGAAAAAATATGTTTCCTTAAATAGTTCTTATTCTAAAATTTCTTTTATGAAATAATCATGTGGTCCTTTTTTGTTTTAGCCTTTTTAGGTCTCTATTAAAATTATGTGTAATTACTTTTTCTGCAATTAGCAGGCAGTCTAGATTTTTTTTCTAGTAGAATTAAACTGGGATTTTTTTAATTTGTTAGGCTCTACAACTTCTTAATGCCATGTCATCTTACAATCAAATAATATATATTTATTGGTTCTGTTTCATTTGTTGAAGTTTATTCCACATTAGCAATACAGAAAATGGCAAGATTTTAGTAAGAACTTGCATTTTGGGGTAGAGGAATAGTCTACTGCATATGCCTACTTAAGTGGCAGTTGTTGTAACCTCAGTATATTAGCACACACTTGACCATGCAACTGAGAATGGATTCTGACAAAATAGAAGGGCTTTATTAGACAGACTTATTCTAGAATGTGAACAGATAACCTGCCCTATGAATGGTCACATTTGTAATTCTAGGGTGTACCTAGATATATCTTTGTTGTTGTCCACAGTGCTAAGATACTTATTTCTAGTTTGCTACAATGTGCTTTTCCTCATTTGGGGTATTAGATAACCTTTATTGTCAGGTGCAAGTAACCAGGAAGAGTTTAGTTCAAAGTACTTCAAGCTTATTACTTGCTACCTATACACAATAATCAGATCTACTAACAATCAAGGTCAATTGGGTCTAGATAAGAGTCAATGGAATGCAAGAGGGGGTTAAGTCTCTTGTAGGAGTATAGTGACTCCAAACTGATTATGCATTTGACACCACCCTCAGGCTCAGCCTGGTCATCTTCTACAGATACCTGATGTCAGTGATCCTGCTTTAGTAATAAGTCTGAGTAACTACAGTAATAATGGTTATTGCCTTTGAAAACAGATGGCATTTTTAGTGGCTATAAAGCTTGGTTAATAATCAGGTTACAAGGCCAGAGATCTGTGACACTTAATTTGTTTAATCTGCACCTAATGCTTATAAGACACTGAATGGTTTCCTGTAGATAGTTGTTGAATCAATTTCATAACATAATGTTTTCTAGTTCTTTGGTAGACTAGTTTGAAAGTAGATAGCACTATATAACAGCTTAAATAATAAAAAGGAATACAATATTTAACTGTGAATAGCTATTTCCTTTTTAAAGTTTGATTGGCAGATTTACTACTTGATTTATAACACACATACTACGGTAACAGCGAACACTGTGTTAACATCATTGATTCCCCAACTTGGCATTTTTGAGATGATAGTTTCCATTACTGTGGTCAACATAGGTATGATGATAGATTTAACTGAACAGTTTTGTAAGCACTACATTCAGAAAATATGAGTAACTCTTAAATGTACTTTGAAATCTATAGAATTTGGGAATGACTCCAAAATTCATTTAATCTTGCTAGTGTGGAAAATTCAGTATTTCTACTGTCTAGTCATGTGGCCCTCTAGCTTGGTAATAAACTCAGTCAAAAAGGTATTACAGGTAGTCCTTCACTTGCTGCCCAAAATCTCATTCATTGAGTGAGGTAGTTGTTAAGCAAGACACCATGGGACTGCTTTGCTCAACAACTGCAATCTGAGCTCTCACAGTTGTGGTCATTAGGTGGGTTGTCAAATGGAGTGCCAGGGAGAGGGCCCAGGCTTTCCCTGCCCCCCCAAAGGAGTATGATTGCAAGAAAACTGGTTTTTTGTAAGATTTCAGATCTAT